TCAAACAGAATCAAGAAAATATTTAAAAACTACTATTACATTTCCAAATTAAACACTTCTGCTTTTGAACTCTGAGGCCATGAATGTCTTCCTGCTGTCACCACTATAAATACTGGAATTATGAATCATATTACCTTTATTATTTGTAGCTGAACCCCTTCGTCTGTTTGAGGGCCTTGAAAACAGCCACATATTGTCTCAATAATTCTATCAATTAATTTTTTGCCTGGAGCTGTACTGTCTGGAGCATTCCCTGTCAAGTGCCCATATGCTATAAGTTTCTGGAGAGGAGAAAAAAAAACATAAACAAAAGCTTAAAAAATAAGTTAACTTTTTGTTATAGTAAATAAATTCACTTGATAGCTCTAACTTGCACAGAATAATTAAAACAGTACATTTTACCCCAAGGCTCATAAAACATCAAGGTTTTTTTTTAAAGGCCCTCCAGATTTATTCAATTTTCACTCAGCAACTGCAATACAAAGTTTGTCAGCGAGATAAACATTAAGCTTTTGCTCATCAATTAACAATGTTTTAAAACAAGCAAGATTCTAAAAACTAACTCACATCACACAAGTCTTCATATGTAGTCAGCACACAAATGTGTTTAATCAGATAAACCAGCTACAAATGCTTTCTATTTAAGCTACTAACTAGTCTGTTTTTAAGTGCTCCGTTATCCACTTCCCTCTCTAGTTCTTCGACACTTTGAAAGGGAATTTATTAGAAAATTAACAAAATCCTCTTCCAAACACTTCAGACATGAGAGTATCTGTAAAAAAAACAGAGAGTAGCAAGGCATCATAGTGTGACAGCACGCCAGGCACGCACGTGCCTGCGAATGTAAATATACTAATTGAGTTCACTGTTGTTGGGCTATTCAGCAGAAGCAAATGGCTCCATTGTACGCTGCAGACTGTGTTCTGGAAACACCACAGAAGCCTATGAGTTTTGGGAAATAAGACGTCTCAAACTGAAAATATTTTACTGCAATTATAAATCCCATAAAATGAATTTGGTAATAACATACTTGCTGCGTTAGTTCAACACATAAACATGAAAATAGGTAGTTATACAGTAACATACAAAAACTGATCCAAACATGTAACTGTGGTAATATGCATATACATAAACACATATGTGCACTACATAATAAATAAGACATACAGTCACCTTTTGTCAGAAATGTATTCAATTTGGTTGTGCGCGCAATAAAGTAAAATAATAGAAAAACAACAACATTTTTTGTTACACAGGAATGTACTGCCCCTTGAAACCAACAGAATTTTGTAGCTGACAGTTAAAGCTCATCTTCATACAGACCTGTAAACAATCTAGAGATGTACTGACAATCCTGGGGCACTTCGACTGGCATGCCAATTCAAACGGTAGGAAGTACTTGTCTGCTTCAATGAAGCTTGTCTTTGATTTCACAGGTGGAAGAGTGCTTGAACCAGGCTTTGCTTCTCCATGAGGGGGACTAAACAGAATGACTGTATTAGAATGCCGTAAGCGATCACACACATAGCTCTCATGTTTACCACAATGTTTACAAATGAAATAAAATATCAAGAAAATTAACATTACGAAAGAGTTAACTTCTGTAAAGTTAACACAAAGGTAACACGGTCGTATAAATATTCTTAGCAGCTTTTATACTTCATCTGTCTTCTTTAATGCACAGGCAAATTGACCCATTTGCACACTAAGTAGATATTCAGTGGTCCCTGCTGGTTTGAAGGCATGAAGACTTCTTTCCTCTGAAAACTGGAAAAGACTCCCCTTACTTGGTTGGTGAAGGCAGAGGGAGAGAAACAAAGGAAATCCATTCACTATCATTTCCACATTCAATAATTCCCAGAGAAGTCTAGGCAGAAATTCTACTACTAGAAGAGCTAAAAATACAACTTGTCAAAATGTTTTGTTTTGTTTTGGTTTTTTGTTTGGTTTTTTTTGTTGTTGTTGTTGGTTTTTTTTTGTTTTTGGGGTTTTTTTTAAATTATTCTAAAAGTTAAAAACTACTCAACTACTGTATTATGATACGAGTTTGATTCAGTACTTTAAATAAAGTACATCTATTCTGGAGATTAAATCATAACTTTGTTCTATCTGTGCTTCAGATGACACTATATAATTTAAGAGTACAGTGGTTACCAATGTATCTCACCTGGACAATGTATCTGAAATTACTATCTGTACAAAATTTGAGAAAATTACTGACTGTTGAAGTCTTATTGCTTACAGCACCTTTAGAAAGGGTATGCTCATCAATACTTAGCTAAAAAGGACAATTAAGAATGGATAATTTTTCACTAATTTTTGTGCATCAGTGCAGTTTGCCTTTGACTCAAAGCAAGATGTTTGGATTTTTCATTTCACAGAACAGCTCGTTACCTTTCTATAAAGAAATTACCTTTTTTGTGCACACATATGTGTCTTTACATAAAAGGTAAACAACACTGTCTTTCTTACAGGGACTTGTTAAGTGGTACAAAGAAAAAAAAAAAGTGTAACTTTGTATTCTGTAGTGAAGGATTACAAAATCCTTGCAGTAATTAAACAGATCTTTACAGAACAACTGATTTCAAATCCAAGCCCTATGCATTTGTTGCAAATTAAAGCAAATGTTTAAAGGAATGCAGATGGCAGAAAATACACATTTTCCATGTTGCTGAAATAGAAGAATGAACTGCTCAGAGCTTATTATAAACCCAAAAGATGAATGCAGTCCCATGCATCATGGAGAAAGCCTTAAACTAACCAATATGATAAATTATCACAATGCTTCAGTTTTTCAAGGAGCAAGCTGCATTGCCCTTGAGAAGATGTTTGGTACCGCATTCAAAAAGCCCTCTTTGTTTAGGCTGCTTAAAAAGGGCATCTAAATTCTAAGTCTTAATAGTGAATAATTCGTGTTAAGACTACTTTCCTCTAAATAACTTCTCTTTTGAAGGCTTAAGAATATTTTTTTTCCTGAAGAAGAACAAAGGTTTGTTTTTCTGTTGGATGCATAACATTATTTATTGCCCAATATTGTTTTGCTGGAAACAGAGCTCTTTTGGACAAAGCCCAAATCAGATAAGTTGCAGAGGAAGTACATGATTCTTCTACATTCTTAAACCTCTCTGAAATTCCTATTAAAAGCTTTTCTCTGAGGAATGGAAGGGTGGTGTCTCTTGTGCATGTCTTATGACAGACTGTTCTTCATCTACTGATTATGTTTATTGATACCATTAAAATTAGGTTAAAAGAGCACTCTGAAAACAAAACCAGCATTTTTCAGAAACAAGGAGCAGGCCATGATGAGATTCTGAAAATGAAGAACCCATGCCACAGCAAGCTACTGCAGAAGCCTGAAGCTTCTCTTAATGTAAGGCTATTAAAAAATGCCCAGAATAATAAAAAAGGAAGATAATGCTCCATTTGTCTCTGGAAAGATAACTCAATAAGCTCATGGCCTTGTTGATGATGGTATGGAAGGGGATAGCAAGGAGAGGTGAGAACAGAAATCTGAAAGGTCTTTTCTTCTTAATATCAGCCAAGAAATGACTTCAGCTGTTTGCTTTTTTCCCAGCAGACTGTGAAATCGGAACCTGTCCCTAACAAAACTTTCTTCCACCAAGGGATCTAACAAGCATGATGATTATGAAATATGCTGATATTTAGGTATCAGCCACAGAAACAGGCTAATATTTATCAAACAATTAAATTTTTAAATTATTTTGGCAGCATTTGCTGCGTAATGATTACATAAATCAGCCTGTCCTTTTCCATTCCATTCCTCTCCATCCCACTACCAAACACTGTTTCTGTTTAAAAAAACAAATGAACAAACAAAAGAAGCAGTTTTCCATGCAAAATTTCTGGCAGGTGGAAAAGGCCTATTTTTCAATGCACTTCAAGTTAACTGTGACATCAGTGTCCTTGAACAAGGATTGGGAAAATTTAAAGAATTATCACTGGAAGCCCCTTGTTAGGATACTCAAATCTCAACCAAAGAAATAAGAAGCTGAAAATAATTCAATAAACTAAGAGGTTTATCTATTCAAAGGCCTAGAAAAACAGTATTTTCTACCTCATCTAAAAAATTAGACTCTACAGTTAGAATAGGGCAAATCCATTCACAGCTTCCAAGTCCAGCAATGCCTTCATAGCAGCAAAAGGCTGCTGTGAGACTAAAGACAGAACTGAAGAAATAAAAATCTATGTCGAAAATGTACATGGGCTAAAACAGGTAACATTATACCCCCCCAAATAACAACTTCAAATATTAATAGGACATGATTCAAGCACCCAAAAGTTCAGAAATGGCTGAATCATGCTTGTATACTTCATTAGAATTCATCTCTCATTAGTTTTAGCATGTTATTTAACTACAGGATCAGATATTACTTTTCCTTATTTGGTGTGCAGAACAAACACCACTCACTGAATTTTTAATATTAAGCAATTTTTTTTCTTATAAATTCTTCAAAATGTGGACTTCTGCTTTATTTATTCTACTCTAAGTAAAACCTATTATAAAAACCCATTATTACTTTCTGTCTGAGACTGTCTTGTGGTGCTTGATGCAACATTATGCAAACACTACACAAATATTAATTTCATTTTTACAATCTTACTATGAGCTGATGGTATTGACTTTATTTTGCTGGTGGAAACTGAAGCACAGTGACTCGGATGCATCCACTAATTTTTATGTGCCCAATTTGATAAGCTGTGAGACTAAATTGTTCAGCATATTTGATATTAAATTACCCTTTACATCTTCTGAAACAAAGCTCCCACTGGCTTCCTTTTCAGCTAGAAGTGCTTACGTTTTTCAACCCAAAACTTGTAGATTTCAGCTCAAACTCCCAGGAGATGAAGCAGAAATCATTAGCAGCCAGTTTTGACAGCTGTGGTTTAAATGATTTGCCTAAACCAGAAATTCAGTTACAGGGCAAAACACAGGTCGCCAAGCAGCGCTCATCTGCTTAAGCCTTAAGAACACTTTCATCATCAGTTTCACCCACTGATCTGATTCTTTCAACAAGTGGAATAAACGGCCTTCACCACACAGCCCTGACTCATGGTTAGTAGCGTACACTGAATGAGGAAGAAGATCCTGTGTAACATGTCATTAAATACTAATAATGGATTGCACAGTTTACCAATACTTAAGAATTTACTTGTTGACAGCGGAAGAGTAATGAATGTTAATTTTGACTTCTAGCTTCACTCGTAGAGGAACTTCCTCCAGAAATCTACACCTCTTCCCTAACACTATCTTTTCAAATTACACTAGTTTTCTCTACCCATTCCCACTTCCTCATCCCAGCCTCCTCCCCCTGCTCACTCACAGTTCAAGTCTTTGATTTGCATTCCAGACTATGCCCCCTCAGCTGAACCCACTTCAAGATATTTTTAAGCTCAGGCCTCTCCGCTCGCATTTCCTTTCTGTGCCACCCACAAAGACTTTTTCTAATCTTGATCCCCATTCCTCCCCTCCTTAGCCAGACAGGATCAGCCTGCTCCTTCTAAGCTATCTTCTGCCTCTACTCCCAGGCCCTGTGCCTTGCACTGTAACAGCCAGTCACAGACGCAGCACTTTTAGCACATTTCCAGATACCACCAAGCTTAGAAAATACATCGAAAATGCTTTTCAGAGAGAGCCTGTGCTTCCAATGCAGAACACATTTTAAGAAGGTAGACTATTGCTCAAGATGAGGAACTATCACATACCTTTGCTTTTCTGTTTCAGCCTTTATTTCCTCTGTAAAATGAAACAAAGGCATAGTTATGGAAATGGAATCATAACCAGAAATAAAAAATTAAATAACTGAAAATGATTGGAAAGCAAAACAATTTAGGTAAACATTTGAAACCAGGATTACTTTAGAACAGAAAATACACGTTTATAAGAAGTTTCGCAAGAGCTTCTCTTTACCCGCATTGGCTGCAGCCTGTAACAAAACTACTTTACAAATCTATATTCAAAACTTAATACTTAAATTTGCATCCAGTCATGCCAGGTAAACATCACATCCCTGTAATGCTTCTGCCAAAACACGGACAAGCTCTTTTCACGACTCGTATACAGAAATAACAAGGAAAACATCAATATTATAAAAACTATTAATCTATCAATAAAGGATATGCTGTTTGTTACATGTGAATTATACAGAAAAGCAATATAAAGAAACCACCATTGCTGATACTTACATGAAGCCTTGATGACTAATAGTTAACTTGGGTTTTAAAGAATGTTGGACACCACAATAATGACTAGAGGGCACAAAAAAATGCCTGTAGTGCCTCTATTTCATGCTATTTTAAAACATATTAAACCAGAAAGACCTGCAGTTTAATACTGTTGACATTCTAAGTAATTTTACAATACATTTTTAAAGTAATTTTAAATTAATGAAACTAATTTTAGGAAACATCTTTAAGAGTGTTTTTGTCTGTATTCTCTAGTTATTTAGCACACTTAAATAATAGGAAATTCCAGAAAGACTCGGATTTCCAATGTTGCAGGAATACATTATTGAAATAAGATGTTTTAAGAAACCATCTCAGGAAATCCATTCTAATGTCAAGTCCTGCTCAAACATGCAAAAATATAATCAACCAAAACCAACACTTTACTTTGATTTTTGTATATAAGCTTTAAAGTAGTGGCATGGATTGATTCTGACAAAAAAAAAGAAAAAAAGTAATTTCTAACTAAGTTCCCATGCAGCAAAAGCAACACTGTGTGTCCTATGCCTCATCTATGCCTCATTCACCATTCCACACAAACTGATTCACTTGCACAACACAGGTTCTTAAGCTTGACATTTTATCACAAATCACTAGTATCAAATATGTTTACTAATAGACTTGCTCAACACCAAGAAAAGTGAACATCAGGAGTGCACATCAATCTAAAATCTAAGTCTTACTTCTGATATGACTGATGCTCCTGTTTACCCCCAATAAAACCCAGAGGACAGCAGGTCAGTGGTTCATCCAAGAAACAGCTAGTCCAGAATCTGTTCAAATCTGTGTTACCCAGGACTACACAAAACATGAAAATAATTCCATATTCCTCAATAAGTAATAATAACAACAAGTCTTATAGCCAGTCAGGAAAGTATGCCTTCCTACCAGGTTATGACATTTGATCCATTTACTCACTTGAAGACAATTTCTTGACCAACAGGAAGAAGAAACTTCCTTCCTGCCTTCCAGCATCTTTATGCCTTTCAGTATTTTACCTCCCACCTCAGCATTCACACTCAGGAACTCTCCTCCCCGAGATGCTCTGAAGTCTGCCCAACAAACAACATTACCAACCAACACATAAAATCGCAGAATGGCTTCCGAGTTCAAAGTTTCCAACTCAAGTGACAAAACTCAGCAGATTCTTGCCCAATACACAAGTATTTTGAACACAAAACGAAACACAGTAGGCTACAAAAACTAAGGGATAGCTCTGCTCAGATAGTAATCCCATTAATAATGGCAATTAAATATTAACAATTTTTTCCTGTAAAATGACACAAGGTGTTAGTGTCATTAAAAAGCCGGGGGGCAGACACCAAACACAAAAGTAGGAATCATGCCTTACTGAACTTTAATTAGTTTGAGTGATTAAAACTCCTTTAAATCCTTTTTTATATATTAAAATCTTGTTTAAAATGATTAACACACAAATTCAGAAACCACTTAGTTATAAAATTTGAACTTAAGTCATGCCTACAAACATTTCTAGTTTTATATTTAAATTATAATTCAAGATTATAACCCATTTTATTGTATTTAATGTGAAGAAAGATGATATTTCAATTCAAGATAAAACAATGTCAACTTCTTATAACAGATTTCAGTTTACAATTTTATCAGATTTTAATAATCTGAAACAAACAAAATAGTTTTTTTAACAGTTTTACCTGAGATCACTCAGGTACAGGAGTCAACTACTGTATTGACAACATAAAAGATCTGTGTATTTACAAGTTATTTTATACTTTGGCTGGGGGGGGGGGGGGGGAAAGGGGGGGGGGGTGGAAACAAACAACTACGAACTAATCTAGAAAAATAATTATTTCAGATTACTGCTATAAATAAAACAGCACAATGCAGAGCTCCACTTCATGTCCAGTTCTAGCTGCCCTTCCCAGCCTGCACCAGGCCACTGGCATTAAAACCCCCTGAGACTAACTACTCCCTCCTAGGGAAGGTGCAAATTATAGTGGAGTTTGTTCGCTGTTCAGAACAGAAACAGCTGAGAGTATTGAATTTGTATGAAAATTGTTTAAGGAGGTACAAGTAAGCCAGTTCTCAGCTCCCCACCCTCTCCCTTTCACCATGAACAACAGTATTTTTCCAGTAAAAGCACATGTCCTCAGTGCAAATATTCTACTTAAAGCAGATGTGATGATAGGTGGGTGTTCAGACACCCTGGTCAACTTCACAGGTTCCAAACCCGTGGTTTTACTGTGTGCTTAAGCAACTTTCTTGAGCTGAAAGCACTGCATGAAACAGTGGCAAACATAAAAACATAAAATAACATTCAGGAAGAGAAGGATCAGAAACAGCAGTTTCACTTTGCAATAACTCATTTTATTTCTGAACTTAAAGAACGTTATCAAACCCAGCTAGCTGTCCTTGACACTACATCAGATTATCTCCAAATTTATTCACTGCTTTGTAAACTACAAGAGTACTTGCAAAGATTACTAAAATAATAAAAAAAATCCTATCAGAACTGCTTAGAGCCCTCATCATGCTGCTGATATGCTAACAAATTATCACTGTTCTTTCTTAAAATGCTACAAGAGATTGTCTTCAAAATAGGTCACAACAATTCACGTCAGAAAATGGATTTTTTTTTTAATTGAAGGGAGTACACAATTACAAGGCAAGAGCTTCTTCAAGCATTGAGGAAGAGAAGGATCAGAAACAGCAGTTTCACTTTGCAATAACTCATTTTATTTCTGAACTTAAAGAACGTATCAAACCCAGCTAGCTGTCCTTGACACTACATCAGATTATCTCCAAATTTATTCACTGCTTTGTAAACTACAAGAGTACTTGCAAAGATTACTAAAATAATAAAAAAAATCCTATCAGAACTGCTTAGAGCCCTCATCATGCTGCTGATATGCTAACAAATTATCACTGTTCTTTCTTAAAATGCTACAAGAGATTGTCTTCAAAATAGGTCACAACAACTCACGTCAGAAAATGGATTTTTTTTAATTGAAGGGAGTACACAATTACAAGGCAAGAGCTTCTTCAAGCATTGATCTAATTAAATGTTACTACTCTTCTGAGTAGCACTGCATCAGTCTATTAATGTGAAAGTGTGGATTTTATAACCTTTGTTAAATAAAAAGAAAGGTTCTTAAAATGGGTGACAAATTATTTTAGAAGACTAAAATATTTTAAATGGCAGATAAGCCCATGATATACCATTACTATGAACGAGGTAGATAGCAGACTTAAACTTTGACCCTTGAGAACAGCAAAAACCTTATTTCCTTCACTGATTGCTTCCTCTGCTCTCCACACCAAAACACAAGTTAACCACAGTACAATTTCATAGTCATGTAACAACCACATCCCGTAGGAAGCATACAAAAATTCAAGAGGCATTACCAGCAGAAAACCAGGTTATACTAAAGGTACCTAACAATTCTCATACTATTAGGTAAACAATCTGTTAAAGACAGATGAACCAAAACACTGACTGATACATTCTTTTAAATGGGAAAAATTAATCCCTGCAAAACTCAATATTAGCTAGAAAAGGGAGATGAAGACAGGTTTGAAAACACAGGCTGCTTCCTTGTTTTGTTCTCACCCTCTCCAAAACACACACCCAGAACCACAAAGGAGGGGATCCAAGAGCTGGAAAAGCTTATCATCTCAGCACCACCATTCCGGGAAGAATAAAAGAATAAATATGTCTTTTGCACACAGAAGATAGAGCTGATCAAAGAGATTAGTTGTTTTGCAATTTTACAATGGTATGCACCGTTTCACAAAGCAGGTAAAATGAGTCATGTATGTTAGTTGCAACATAATTTTCCATTTCATCTGCACCTGTACAGACCATCATAATTTCAAAGAAATCTCTGAAAAGGTCTAAGACTTTTGTTTTACAGGTGTATTGGCTTCTGCTGGGATAGAGTTAATTTTCTTCACAGTAGCTGGTATGGGGCTGTGTTTTACATCTGTGCTGAAAACAGTGCTGTTAACCCAGGGATGTTTTAGTTACTGCTGAGCAGTGCTCATACAGTGTCAAGGCCTTTCCTGCTCCTCATGCTGCCCCACCCCACCAGCGAGGAGGATGGGGGTGCACAAGAAGTTGGACAGGGACACAGCTGACCCCAACTGACCAAAGGGATATCCCAGAGCATATGATGTCGTGTTCAGCAATAAAAACCTGGGGGCAGGGGAACAGTGGAGTTTACCTGCCATTGCTTGGGGACTGTCTGGGAATCAGTCCCCTGGTGGTGAGCTATTACTTTTTTTTCCATCACTTGTTGTTTCCTGGTTTTGTTTTTCTTTGGTTTTGCCCCTTCCCCCCCCGCCCCCCTTTTTTTGTGTTTGTTTATTTTCTCTTATTAACCTGTCTTCGTCTCAGCTCAAAGTTTTCACACTTCTACCCTTCCAATTCTCTCCCTGATACCAGTCAGTGAGTGGCCGTGTGTGGCTTACCCGTCAGCCAGAGGCAAACCACCACAACACATATCCATAATTTCATTCTCACCTC